ATGCTCTTTCCCAAATCCCATTAACTTCGCTCTTTTAAAAAGGAAACTCTAAAACGAGTCGTTTCCCCAATTTATCTCTCTACGATAAGTCAGTATGTCTTTCAGACGCGGAAAGTCGAAAAATAACTGTGTCTGCCAGTAGTTGAAAGGGTCTTTTCATTTCTCCCCTAACGGGTCATTTCTTCTCTATAAAACCAATTTACGGATCTGAGATTTTCCACCTTTGCCTTATTCTGTACCTAATCAGTGTATATCTGAAGCCCTGGTACCTAATACCTTTGAGTAAGGTCAGCTTAATTAATTAATTGAACTTTTTCCTTGAAAATATGGATCGATATTTCTTTTGTATGTGCATATTTAAGTATACTTTTTGCCATAAAAAGGTTTAGTACGGGTTCCGTGACTAAAAAAATCCAAAATCCTCGGACGAAAATAAAAGTCTGCCCGTACACGCACTTGTTTTAGAATATAGGATACGTAACTAATTCATTCACTGATTCACAAATGAATAAGTAAATATAATGTACACTTTAGAAAATATTATCGACTACACTTCATGAAGAGTCGTTCAATTCATTGAAACTGTCAATAAGGGTTAGTGTGGCCCTACAAGGCCAGTTTACTTACGTAAAAGCGAGTATAATTTTCTTGTGTAGGAATCACACGTTTTATTTTCTACATCTTAATGTTTCAGCGTCAACCAACACGCGTGTTTTTGTGGATTCACGGAATAAATCTCAAAACGGTCCCTGTGCAGTCTATCTTGCGATAGTTTCACTGACCGTATTTCTCCCAGACATGTGGGAGGACAGTTTACTTCCCGCTAAATTGGAAACGGGTCTCTGAGTGACTGCATGATCAAAACAGTGGGTTTTACCGCAAAAACAGATTCGCCTGTATGAGTTTGCTTATCTGGTACGGTTGTAATAGAGGTGAAAGATTGTTCTCTGCATTCAATGTGCGTTGTGCAAAGGTAGTTTTGACCGTGCATAAACTGTATGCTGAATAATCCTTATTCATCAAATTTATTGATACTGTTATCGTAACATTTAACCGGTTAAATGAATGTACATACTCATTGCGTAGGGTTTCCACCAAGGTTTCGTGAATCTCTGTGTGTTTGATTTGACAAAACACTTTACTTATAACACATAAATGTAGTCTCTTTAAACAATTAAAATACTTAAACACAGTTTTATAATAGTGTGGAAGTTTTTAGGGTGTTAGCCTAAAAAAATAAAACCTAATTTTTTACCATCTTCCACCTCCACTCCCTAACAGGATTTTCTTATATCTAGACCGTTAGCATCTCTTATATTTGACATAATTGTATTTTATCCAAAAGAGAGAGATTAATTTAAATAGCTACACGTGCTGGGAGAGGCTCAATGCGAGTTTTCTTGACTACGTCTGGTCCATATACAGGGATGTTTACTTAGATACAAGGCAATGGTTACTCTTCTTGTAACTGTACGAAGACCTGACTGGAACACCATAAAATTTAGTTTATTACCCAATTCTAACTCACAGGCTCGGCAAGGCCCATTGAGCGAAAGTGTTCAAGCCACGACCAAATACGGATTAACGAAATTCGGGACGAGTTTGTGGTTTCACCTGTGAAACGTGGTAGATGTTATCACAGATGTGCTACTGATAAGACAACATCGTCCATTCCAGCAGTGTGAAGATAAGACCTAACTAACCGCACGCACTGTTATTGCACATTGTACGTGCGGCCAATTAGGTGCGGTATGTAGGACAAGAGTCAAAAACATCTGGACCTAGTGCACTACCTTGGGGGAGACCAAGGATGTTAGTATGGCAAATGTGTGAATAGTGTGATGCAACAGTGGTAATTAGGATAACTTCAATGACTGCTACAACTAAATTTATAAATATTGAAAAAGAAAATAAACTTTAATATGTGGCATTTGTCACGTTCATTACACAAACTAAATGAGCAATTTCTTTCTTAAATTTTTTAGAACTTACATGTAAAACATGAATCATTTTAGTAAAACCAGAAGTAGGCCTAAACGTTATACTATTTGTATTGTCTAATAAATAACTAATAAGTTTATACTGTATCTTTACTTAAATCCATTATACTACGTGTTATATAGAAAAAACGTAAACCAAGTTACCAAAAGAAGCTTAAACACGTAAATGTAGGCTATATTGAAAGAAGTTAATAGTTCGTATTGTAAAAAAAAAACATATAAAGCTTTACTAGTGTTTAGGAAAAAAGGTTTCAAGCTTTTAGGAAACTAGATATTAGTATGATATGTATGCATCCACATCGGTAAGGTCAATGAAATTTAACTAACGTAGTAATGATAGTATTTTCCCTTAGTTATTAGTTGTTTGTGATACAGATAAATATGAAAAATAAAATCACATGGGATGAACACAGTTTTCATTGTTGTTTCAGCGCTCTAGTATGCCTAAAGAGACCAATTTTGATCCCCTAACCCTTTCCATTTCATATAAAACTAAATCGTAAACTTAATTGTGTAATTATACAACATCGTCATAATTAAACTCGACGACGCAAGCTGATTTTATCATTCAATTTTTTTCAGATTAAATTGGACCTCGGTAAAAACAGAAGGATTTCCCGTGTTAATGAGCCAGACAGGACCAGACCAGGATGACTTGAGTGTGTTTTATAGACCACACATGGCGGGAACCACTTAAGCTATCTTACTCTACTTCCGTCTGCGTTGCTTCATCCAGTGACATCGAGAATGGAGGGGTGAAAGTTTATGGAGGCAATTTGGGAAATAATAAATTGTATAAATTGGACCCGTGTTTGTGTAGCGTATTTTTTGGACGTAAGGCACACGCTGAATATTTGAGAGGGTGATTTGAAATTAAGGGGTTAATGAAGTTTGGATATATTTTGTGACACTTGTTTCTAATTGATAAACTATCTTGGATTATTTACTTTTTAAATAGCTAGCAGGTAAGTTAAGACTGTTTTATCATACATTATTTACTACTACAATATTTAACTGTATGAATCCTATACATAATTTCCTGTAGAGGATTATAACAAAACACATCCTATATAGCCTAGATTATTATTCAATAAATCGTCGAAGGATGTCATCGATACTTAGCAGTTAAAAACGATTCAATAATAATACAAATGTTAAGATCTAAAATACACGGGTAATAATAGCATGCATTTCCTGTACAGCCTGTTCCATAACAACCTGTTCAGATTACATATTCATTTTAAATAATTTAAAGGACATGACCATCTAAGGATCCTTAAATGATACAGGTGTTAAGTTGTAGGCAGAAAACACAACTGTAAAATACTTTACTTCCTAAAATTATGTTTTGCTGCTTCTTTCATTGAAAATTTGAGTTGTGCTGCAGTTCTGAAGTTTTCTAAATATCTGTTTGGGTTTATTTAGGTTGGCTATTGAATGTCCATCGTGACAGCCCAATTGCAGCAGATAATAATTAAATTTTCTTTTATTCTACCAAATTTATTTATGAATAGTATAATCTGCTTGGAACCTATACAACATACAATATATATCAATAAAAATAAATAATTATTAAATGTTTTTAAATTTACGTTTAAAATTTATATTTGTACACGATTATTTTCAAATATTTGTGTGTATGTATGCACGAAATCTCCAATTTGAACATTAATTTAAAGAAATAATCCAAATCGGACAGTCATGTTTGTCCATAAACAGATTTCAAAACAAAACCTCCCCTCCCCAAACACCCATTTATCGGCATTAGCATGTAATGCCCAAGTGTTTATCTCATGCACACACACACTATTGTTGAACTAACGATTGGATTTGCGATTTTAGCTAGAGCGCGAAATCGGTTATTTTATGTTTTGCAAACATTGAAATGTTTGTAATAAAATGTTATGGTCAGTGCAAATATACGTTACGTTTTGGTACAACAACGTAGAATCCATGGGTTGTTACTGTTAATGGAAAGAAAATTATTGTTTAGAATACCAAAGAGCACTGTATAGCTCTTGCCGTGTATAATTATCTCTATTAATGTGTAAGTTTGTACTGTAATCGATATATTTGTTTTAAATCATGTATAATGCATGTAATGATTTATTGATATCTTCATGCCAGATACACCAGAAAGCTGTAAAATTATACTTTAGCTATACGAAAAATTTTTTTATAAATTAAAACTACAGTATTTTATTTGAGCAAACAGGAAACTTAAATAAATTATTTTTTTTATTCGAAAGTTTTTATTGAATGTCTCATGTGGTGCGAAAACTCCTAAAAACTTGAACTCAAACTCACCATGTGATAAAATATTTTATTCGAGTTTCTTACTACTCTGAAGTGATATATTGCGAAAATGGGACTTATCGCTTAATAGATAGCGGGAAAGACAAAATAATAGCTGAAAAACAGCCATATATCACTTATCCGGCTCAGGATTAAACTTGACTGGAAAAACATTGCTAAGTTTGTATCAACATTTGGAAAGATATCAAGACATATATTATGGATGTTGACATGCAGGCCGTTGTATTTGTTTTGTTAATGCCTAAAGCAATAACAGGGGTTTTTAAGGAATATTGGATATTTTATGGTGTTTAATAGATAAAAGTACTTATTTACCGTTATATATACACGGATATTGTTTTATTCAGTTGACAAAGTGTTATTTACTGTAATTATGTATAAAGTGCGTAAATAGTATCTGTATTTAAGAAAATGTGAAACTAATAAATAAATCCAGCTTCAGGTAAACATATAACAATAAACTTTTACCGCATATTGAATACATAGACTCTAAACATACACAAACACAATACTGTACTAAATAAAAATAGTATTATTTTCACTGTTTAGAATGACAGAGGTGATAATTTTCACACTGAACAGTGATAGCCTGGTTGAAAATAAGATAAGCTACTATCGAAAAAGTTCAATGTAACGATTATATTATGAGTTAATTTCTAAGTTTAAAAGTAGTCATGTGACGAAACCATTTAAGAAGAAAACTCCACGTGTTTTAAATAAATTAATGTTATTTCACATTGGTTGTGTTGTTTTCTATTTTCTTTATTACATATGGCTTGACGTCAAACATTATTTTACATAATACAAAATGGACGAGTGGTCAAAATACCAGGTAAGAATATTGCGATGTTTCACAAATAAAGACGAGAACTTAGGACTATAGTCCTAACTACTATACTACACTATACTATACTATCTCCTACTTACGTAGCTTTTGTACAGTTAACAAACAAAATTGCTCTTAAATATGTGTGGATATAGCAAGGGATCGTAGGACCTTTTATTTGGTTCAGTAACTGCACTGAGTTTTGCATTGACTCTGGCCAGCTAAACTTTTAAGATTTAGAGCCTATTTATGTGTGGTTGAGTACTTTAAAGCTTAAAAAAATTTTCTCCCTCTTTCATAAAGAAATTTGACTACGTCTTCAATATTCATTGTTTGCAATACAAGAGGATGTGAAACACAAAAGATAATATTTTGGGTGAAAATATTTAGTTATGAACTTGGTACTCAAAAAACAAACGTTTAACTTAACTTATCCATTAGAATGATAGTTCTACTAGGAAATATGTTTGCATTTGTTTGGACAACTACCCAAAATATCCTCTCCTAAAAGACACATTTTGCAAAATGTATACGTTGAAAATAATTAAATTAGTTAATAGATTTATAATTACAATACAAAGTTACCTAAAAAGTCAAAGTCTAAGTCCTTTATTAAGCCAGATTAACAATACATTGCATTGGCCAAGTCAAGAAATTACATTTAAACATAGTGGTGATCGATTTCGATTGGACACTCCAATCATCATCAGCCCCAATAGGTGGATCTCTAATAAATACGTATATACAAATTGTTTGGTTGTGACACACAACCCCTTGTGATGGTTTTAACCTCTAAACATATACAGTAAATTGTCTTTGACACATAACTGCCGTTCTTAAACGTGCAGATGAGTATAATTAATTGTGGGTTCCTTTCAAGAAGTGGGCCGACACAAGTTTAATATGCCCTGTGCAAGTTTGGTTATTTTAGGTCATACTAGGCTAGGCTAGAGTAGTTTACGTTAGGTTAGGTTAGGCCAGGATAGGTTAGGTTAGGTCAGCTCAGGCTGGGTTGGACTAAGTTAGGTTAGATTAGCTTTGTTTGTGAAATCTTGGTGGCCCTCTTTACAGAAATACCCCAATTAAGCTACTGCAACACCTTTTAAACTGATCTCAAAGTACGATATTTTCAGATGCAATACAATGAAAACGGCCAAAGAAAGGCTGGCAGAGAGTGGAACAGTCCTCACATGAACATCATTACCTTGAACGCATGGAAAGGTCCTGAACGTTTAGTACCCTACCCTTTCACTAAGAAGCCGTACCACGTGTTCCACATGAGCACATTCACAGATGTATGCCGCACGCCGTATGAGTGCGAAATGGTTCTACAAGCGTTCAAAACCCGCAACGAATCTAAGAAGAAAGCCGACTTGAGGTTCAAGTAAATATACACGTAACTCGTAGTAAGATCAAGATTGTAGATCATTTGTAGGTTAGGAACACTAGGATTTAAGGCCTATATTTTTTAGAAGGCCATACATTAATAGGCTTTCTAAACAGATAGTAAGAAGTGTGTGCTGCCAAAGATATTAGGTTCAGCTGGTTATCATATAATATTATGTACATATTACTCACATGGATTTTTGAACGGAACACTTAGGCTAAGTATTGAAATATACTATTTTTTATCAGTGATAGAAATTATAGTCAATAAGGCTTTTTTTATTTCTGAATGAATCATTTACTTGGATACAATGCAGTCCTTTTAAATGTTAGTGAAAAGAATAAATATTTAGGCTTAATTTGTCAAATGGTGCAGTATACATACCTTTAAGATATGTGACCCATTGGTTATGGGATTAATAATGTACTATTAGTTTTATTATAGGTGGTGACTTGAACGTATACGAAGCCCGAGGTTTCCACTCTCAGCCCCTACTGCCTTTGCATTATCATAGCAGCTTCGTCAAAGTAGCAATACTTATTGGATACGTCGGCAGATTTGATAGTAAGCAAAATATAATCTATAGTTTTAACCAAGCAACATACTGAAGCGAGACAATACTTTATAGACGAGGTACTTTAGGTTGGTTGGTTTCCACTTCAAGGCCTTAACCAAATTATATCTAGAAATTCAAACTAGATAGGACCAGGACCTATTTCAGTAGTACACACTTATTAAACTCCGTATTTTTCATTAATAATCCATTTTGTATTTTTTTCAGTCACATTCCGTTCTTTTTTCACCGTGACTTTTAATTTGCTGTATTATCCTAAATGTTGAACATATACTTTTAAATTCAATCGTTGTAGTTTGGTAGTACTACAATTTTAGCCTGACTGTTTATCAATTTAAATGTTATTTATGTTAGAATATATGTAAATTTTTTTTTCGTTGCTTAAAAAAATCTTGCTTGTGCTTAAATCTAAAAAAGTAGCAATTTAAATTTGTTTTGATTTTGTACAACCTAGCTTAGTTGCTGATTTGTTATCGACGTATTGAATCGTTTAAATATTTTTGATTCTAACTGTAACAGCCTCAAATAAATCGCTAAAAAGTACTCCAAGAATAGGTGCAGTTTTGTTTTATATTTTAGGAACCATTCATATAAGGCATATATGCGACATTCCAAAACTAAGTTACATAGCGTAGTTACTATTATAAATGTATATAGCTGTTATTATAACCCAATAGCTATGACAACTGAAATTTTAACTCTATTTTTTAGATAATACTGTCCCCCAAAACATGTGGAATCTGGGATGCCACTTTGCCTATTATGCTGCCAAAAACAGATTCCTGATGACCGAACACAAACACCATCGCATATTCGACAGACCACCACTCTCCAGCTACGGTAACATAAGACAGTTTGGAGACAGAGCCAATACATTCAATGCCCCTCCAGAATCTGAGGAAGAGTACTTTTAGGAATTAATCTTATTACAATCAAGCACAAATACGAATGTATTTTTATCAAATAATAAACTTGTATTATTAAAATTTACAGTTTGTCAAGAATTTTTAAACGAATTATAAGTTATCGTACTTATTTAATGTTGTACGTTGTACTTGTAAATCCAAGTGGTTTATTGAATTGACAGTGAAGTAATAAAACAGTAAAAGGTGTCATGACAGTTTTATCGTTTCTCCAATCCCTCATATTGCTCTTTAATCTGTGTGAATATACTCAAAGTAGTATAAAATAGTCAACGTTTAAACAAATTTAAACAAAGGTATTGAATAAGAAATCATTAATTTCCCAGTTATTCTTTGTCCAAATTAATCTTAAAAAAATATTGTTGAAATCTCTTTAAACTGTCATCATTGTTTTAATATCTTTCAATGTTGGTTAAATTAACGGTTTCAAAAAAATGTTGTCTTCAAGTTTCAAAGATTACAGCTATTGTGTAACGGTTTAGTTTTATAATCTCTTTTTACAAAAATATCGCGATCAGTAAGATAAATATCTTTGCAGAATCTCAACGCTGTAGCTCAAACCGTATAAGAGTTATACATGTTTTTAACACATATTATAGACTCTCTCATTGGTAGTGTACAGACTCTAACCGACACGAGATATGATTAATGTGTATGTAAACTCTTTTAATCAATTTGAGCAAAGGAATCGCTAAGTATATTATCCCCACCTTTTCAACACCCTATACAATTTAATACATTTAATCCGTCCTTCTTATCCTATTTACGATTAAGAGTGTCATAAAAATGTTTATGATTTACCAAAGTATTAAATGGTATCTAAAAAGGTTATTTCCTTTAGGTCATCGTCCCCCCCCCCAGCGTTATATTTATTTTAAAGGGTCACTTTCAAAAATCGAGTTATGATGACCAACTTTCTTTATGGCGGCTTTGATAATCAAACAGCTGAACCTTTCGGTTTCATGTCTAACCATTTCGTCATAAGTATACGCGATTTAATTATTTTTTGTCATTTTGCATTATTAAAACTTAAATGACGAAAATCAATAAGGTAGTTGATAGGCAGCGGGGACAATTAAACAAGCACATATTACAATATACAGTATAAGGATACTGTATTTAATGTGCATTTATGTTTTGGGTAAGGTGAACATTTGTTTTTACGTCATAGGGACGTAAAAACCTGCTCGGCTCTCAGTTAGGTTTTTGACCCCGCATCCTGTTATAGCAAATTTTCGCTCCTTAAAAAAATGTTTAATACTATACGTAGCTTTTGGCTTCCAATAAACGTTTGTAAAACGGCTAAAAACATCAGTAGTGTGAGTGTGGTGAAATATTTGAAACATATAAATTTTTTATTAAGATGTATAAGTAAAGTTAGCAAAGTAACAGTAAAGTATATTGTGCTTAAAATGATTACAGGATTGCATTCGTTAATTATCCCTCCTAAAAACTGTAATATATCTTTCAAACCTTCCTCGTTCTTGGTCTTAAATTCCATGCAGTACCGTATTGGTCTTATGCTACTTGATCATCATCTTTGCCTTGGGTATCTTCATGGGTCTGCGGGAGCATTTTCACTCCTTACCCTAATCGGTGGATCAGGACTTAAGAGGCAGGCCTACACTCCCTTCCCTAGTTTCTGTTTCACCCTAGATTATTCATAGTACAGCAACCACAGTTAGTTTGTAAACTAGAAACGAAACAAATGATAAATATTTTTAACATACTACTTTTATTATGATTTTAACGTGTTTGAGACGGGAACATTATTCGTTATGTTGTAGATATAAACAATCATCAAATTTAATTTATTGTAAATTTGTAGTTTCATTCATCTAATAACTTCATCTGAAACGATCAAAATACCTTGAAAGGTAAAATGGTCTTGTATTTTTTGTCTTTCATTGCAAAAATGTTGGGACCTTGAAATGCGCAGTTTTTGCTCGGGTCTCATAATTCTTTATTAGCCTATTACAAATACCATAGCAGCATTAGAGTGGGTGAATACAAAATACTCACAAAGACTTCTGCCTGAGCGTGATTTCAACCTACTACTATTTCAGTTGACTAGCTACCAACTACAGATGTGACACTGTGCTGTGAGAGGTTTCTCTGATATATTAGCTGTTGTTCGTGATGTTGATGTTATCCGTGGACAACACTTACACTTTGCTTCATTTACATAAAGAGGATGTCATTTCACTCTTATCTTGCTAGAGATGTTCCGCGACTTCAGGTCTGGGGGATGAGAAATGTTCGTTAATGAGATTCTGGTTTGTACACCGTTGTTCAGCAAATAGAAAACAATGTCTTGAGTACAAGTTGGTTGTAGATTGTCACCTAAAAAATTAAAAATTCTTCTACATGTAGATCTGAATAGTAAAATGTCTAAATGAATGAGCGGAAATTATAAATTTATGAATATTGTTCTTCCTGCAGAAATACCTGCAGATTCTGCAAATCTTTATTTTTTAAGCATTATATTTTGTTTTAAAGTCGAAATAGCTTGTAAATCAACAGCCAAACAAACACAACTGAGTTGAAAGGGTTTTCGCATTTACAGCAAAGAATCATTCGATAATGCCAAGCAAATGGCTCCTCCATTGTTCCTTTCATTGGTGAGCTAAAGCATAGAGGTTAAGCTAAAAAGATTCGATGAACCGGTGGATATGTAGTTGCTAAAAAGTAATATTAACGGATACAAGTTTAGCAAAGTTTTAGGTAACAATCAACGACCATTTCTAAGGACCTCCTTGGCCTTTAAGACTGAAACTACATATGGCCTTAGCTATTCGCTAAAATTGAAAACCTTAACTTAGCATTGCCCTGTTAACAACGTACTGCACCGATGAAAACTCCCATTTACTGAGTTGCTAGTATTGAGACACAACATGTATACAATGCTGTGACTGTTTCCTTGTATAAACACGGAGAATAAATCGTCCTGCAGACAGTAGAAGCAGTGAAGTGAGTTGTAAGGATGGCAGGATTTATGTCCTGTACAGATAATCCTGTCGCCGCTCCTCCTATCAGACAGGACCTAGAGATCGCATTGAGGGAGTCTCTACTGAAATAGACTCCACAGCCTTATTTGTTACACAATAAAACTTTTTGTTCAATAGTTATCCATTTATGGACTTCCCTTTGCTGTTTTACCAGGATAATTAGGTGTACCTATGTTAATACCTGACTTGAAGTAATGTGACAAACAATTCCGGGTCCGTGTCCAACAGAGTAGAGGGGTTTTTTTCGTGAGTAGTCTGTGATAGATTCAGGAGTCTCACACTACAAGTTGGCTACCTGTGTGCGTAAAAGCATTTTCCCTCCTCTCCCTTAAAAAGAAACCTATGTTAACAATTTAAAATTCAGTTGGTGTACTAATAACATTGGAAGTGACTTAGTGAGAGGTCTAAATTCGGCTTTCGATTTGTAATAAAATTTTACTATAGGGAACTTGAATGATCAATGCAAGATAGGGTACATGTTACTTTAGATTAAAACATAGAGTTCCCTGTCACAAACTATAAAATACATAGCATGTTAATTGCGTGTTCTTGGAAGTAAGCGCTAATGTTTGGTATTGCTCGATTGAGTTGGGGTTTTCATGGCATATAGTTTTTTACATTAGTAATCATTAGGATTTAAATCAAAATTATTTGTACCGCTTGATCAAATGCAATTCCTGCCAATCACCAACGGATCTTTATTATGTGGGTGATAACCATGTTGTTCGGAATCCACCTTAATTGGTTCATCTAACTACAAATCAATTATAGGTATCTGATATATATATATTGTAAACTCCTTTTTAAAGTCATTTGGTATTCTAATCTCTTCAGCCATAGTTATGAATTCATTATGATGTAAAATAAATCCAACTCCGTTTTGAGTCCAACCAATACAGTAAAACATTGACAAGAAGAAATCTAGAACCAAAGTTACCTAACGTTTTGGAACATCATGTTAACAATACCTCATATAATTTATCAATGGGTCTTCCATCAGTTACTGCTGGCATCGTATATTTCCTGCTGTCATCAAGATAATCAGAGATGTCGGTGGACATATGATCAGGTCATCTGCCGCCTGTCGATACAGGATCATAAATCCTTAAAGTGAGTCATACTGCAAGACGTAGAGGGAAGGCTTGTCAACTTTGATATATATCTTGGTTTACTGATATAAGTTGTATTTGGAGGGTTTCTATAGTACTTTAATTTAAAGTACAGTAATCTTGGTATCCATAATGGTTTTGGAAATAATAAGAGTCGGGTTTGATATTTAGGTGATTGTATACGAAACTCGATATTCATTGCTTTAATATTTTGGAATTTCAAATACACTTCAAATGCCACTCAGCTAGTTAACTTCAAGACATGTAACTAGGGTATTTAAGTTTAAAAGTAGAAAAGTAGTATTCAAGCTTTAAGAAAGATTGCTTAGACGATCAGCTTCAGCTCAACTTGATTAGGAAAATAATTTACACTACTTTCTATTTTTACATCCTTTTACTCTATAGTTTGACGGCTTGAAACAATTTACCATGATAGAACAAGTTTGTTTTTATTCCAGGCTAATAAAATTTTCATTTTCATTTTAATTTGGGAGAAATGTTAGCCCAAATTAAATTAACCATTGTAAGCTACCAAAATTATTATGAACCTTCTTGTTTACAGGTAAAATATTTGATTATATGTTAACTTGTTATAGTAGTATATAGATGTTTTCAACTATCTGAATTTCTATACACTAATGCCTACACAACACCTGTTCCGAGCGAGCTTTGCATGTGAAACTGCCTTGCAACATCCGTGAATACATTGGACGCTTCACAGGAGATGGGATGTTGATTATTAATGTTTCCTGAACATCAACACCTGAACCAGACAGATCTGCAATACAACCGATACATTAGCACTTGGGATATCGTTATTCAACAATCTAGAACAAGGTGCAACATTATCGAGTTTTCTCGAGAGTATTGTCATCGATCTTCGTCATAAATTCAT